CTTTCTCCTCACTAAAATCTTCCCATTCTCTTTTACTCCCAATAGCTCTTTTCATCTTAGTTGCTTTATCGCCTTCCTTGTGGTAAAATGATTAATACAATAGAAAAGAAAAGGGCTATCGGTACAAGATCAAGCTATCCCTGTAAATTAAATAATGAGTTTTGAAATTAGCTGAATGTTACCCGGATCAAGAAACACTTGATGACGGCCGGAAGGAAGCAAAGACTGTAATGTCGTTAACCAACAACAAAGTTCAGGACAAAAGTCCGCGTGTAAATCATATAAATAGCAAAAAGTTCTAACTAAAAGCAAAATTATTAAGACGCGAATTAATAGTTGATAGTGTATCCTAAAGAGATGACTTTCTGTAATCTTGTAATGTTCTTCAGCATATTCTTACACACATCTTCATTTTATTTCTTCCATTCATCTTGTCCTTTCCTAAATTCTTGGAGATTTCTTTCCATTATCTTCAACTTCAACTGTCTCTGTGAGTTTTTCTGTCAGTATATAATCTGGTATTTGAGTTGGCTAGGGTAAAACATCACTCTTATTTTTCTTTAACCAACGTTTCACTAAGTTTGAGGAAGGGTCAAGATCATTTTCCTACATGAAGACCCAAGTAATTCTCCACATTTATGTCGTGGTGTCTTCCCCCTAATGTGGGCTCTTCCACTTACTATAAAAATAGTAGGAAAAGTAAGCCTTGGGGGAAAACTGTGATATAGACTGTTCTACTGAGGCTGTTCACAGTTCCTGTCGAATTCTCTTCTTTTAGCAGAGAGGAACCCGGTCGAAGCTGTGCCAAAGGGCAGAGTTTCGTCCGGGGTGATAGACAGATCCGAAACCGTTTATGTGGGTTCTACGGGGATTTTTTGGCCGAGCCTACGGGCTCGGATGGCCCACGTTAAACTCGGTCTTGTGCCACATGTTCCCTCGTTTTCAGTGAATATAACGGTGAGATAGTCTCTAACACTCTTCTGTTGTATTTACTGTTCGATACACTATTTATCTGCAACCTCTTGTTTTGTTATTTCTTAACCAATTACTTGGTCACAACACTTTATAAACTCCAAGTTATCAATGTATTTTTCGTTTTTCATGATTGCTATTAACTTTAATTCAACTCCCAGGATTTTTTTGTTGCAAAACAACACCAGAGACTCAAAATAAAAAAAAAATAAAAAAAATTCTTCACAAATGTTATGACACTTCACAACCCCATTTATTAGAACCTCATATCAATCAATGCATCACATCAGATTTTTGAAAAGGCTTTTAAGTTTTATCTCTCATGATCACCGAAGTTAAGGAACGTTGTAGCTGGTCAGTAACTAGATGGGTCACCGAATGCGAATACCAAGAGCTGTCAGATTGTATGTACGGGGAATCTAATAGATAACGTCTTGGAATTAGAAATCTGAGAGCCGAGTTCTAATTTCAGTTGGATGCGTTATATTCACGTATGCGCAAATACTCTTGTGAAAGGCATGAATCCACTCCCGCCCCTGCCAGCTATGTGTGGTGTTTATTGGCTTAAATGGTATCGATTTTGTCTAAAGAATGTTTAAATCTGGGCCGTACAAGTAGAACTCAGATTTAATCATCTTTTTTTTCTTTCTTTTTCTCTCAGTTCATTCTTTTTGCCTCGTATTCAGTTTACACTTCTTTTCTCCCCTTATACTTTCTTTCTTTCTTTCTTTCTTTCTTTCTTTCTTTCTTTCTCAGTTTTCACTTTTTTCTCCCTTTATTCCTTCCTTCTTTCTTTCTTTCTTTCTTTCTTTCTTTCTTTCTTTCTTTCTTTCTTTCTTCTCAGTTTACTCTTCCTTTCTCCGCGTATTCTTTCTTAGTTTTTACTTTTTTCTCCCCTTATTCCTTCCGTCTTTCTTTCTTTCTTTCTTTCTTTCTTTCTTTTTTAGTTTCCCTTTTTTCTCCCCTCATTCCTTCCGTCTTTTTTTCTCTCTTTCTTTCTTTCTTTTGTTCTCTCAAGATAAGCGAACCAAAATAGGTTTTTCATCCCGCTCACACTTACAAACTCAAGAAAAATATTTTATATAATAGAATTTCGATTTTAATTTCAGCTATGTGTCAATCAGTAGGACTTGATCAGTTAATCTTCAAAAATTCTTAAAAATCCAAAAATATTTTCTGATTCTAAATAGCCCGCGAAGGGTTGATATCCCGTAAAAAAAAAACAATTCAATCCAACACTGTCAAGGAATAGTTCTTCGTCCTGTTATGTCTGGGATCTGTCTAAGGTCAGCCAATTTTTGCACTATGATTATTATTATTAATTTTCACCTAAGGTCAAATTACCACTCACCTTACAATCTACTAATACTTTCTGGTTGTAAATAATCAGCAAAAGGTTGATAAGCCGTAAAAAACAAATCAATTAGTCTAATTTTCATTGTTTTTTTATGTGACATGACAATGTCATCATGGACTGACACGGGGGAAAACACCGTGTGACCAACTCGACGTGCTTGCGTTAATAAATTGCAGACGAGGTGGTGGGAGGGGTGGTAATAGGAGAAACATTTTCTAGTGATACAAAGGATAGAAAGTTTGGGAGAGCCATGATCATCCCAGCCCTGAAGAGACACAGCTCGTTAACAAGAACCTCACTATGTGTACAGCAGAATGTTTCCATCAACTTACAGACAAGTGTGTGGTGTTTATTGGCTTAAATGGTATCGATTTTGTCTAAAGAATGTTTAAATCTTTTTTCTTTCTTTTTCTCTCACTTTATTCTGTTTTTCTCGTATTCTTTCTTTCTTTCTTTCTTTCTTTCTTTCTTTCTTTCTTTCTTTCTTTCAAGATAATCGAACCAAAATAGGTTTTTCATCCCGCTCACATTTACAAACTCAAGGAAAATATTTTATATAATATAATGTCGATTTTAATTTCAATTTTTCTTTTCCTTTTTTGGGAAATACGTTATTTTAATTGTCTCGTTTTTTTTTGTTTTTTTTCGAAATTCTTTTATTTAATTTCTGACTGTTAAATCATTTTAAACTTGTTGAAACAATATTTGCAAACGGAATAATTTGATCTTGCCAGCTGATCACTATTCCATTAACATTCAAACGCGTCTAATTCTGTTAGGTTTCCTAAAAGCTGTTTATTATTAAACATCCATCTACACTAGGTACCGTAATTCCCCATGTATAATACGTCTTCATCCATAATACGCACTTCTAAGATTGTGCTGGAAGTGCGGGAAAATGCTTCTACTCATGCATAATACGAATCCTTCGTTTGGTAATTAAACTCTATAAAATGTACCTCTCCAATTTCATTACGGCCAGCGTTTTATACTCTTATTCAAGCTGTAATTGAAGATATTTCTCAAAATTTCCGATCATCACGATTTTAAAAGGAAACGGAAATATCTATATTGTGCTTACTGCGCAGACCCATTAACCTGTTTTTGTTCGATAAAATGTACAATCTACGGGATCTGTATGAAGTTTTTTTCACAAAAAATGGTTTTAAACATAGAATAATATTCCAATTTAGTTTTATAATTTTTATTTTATTTTACATTTGTAAGTATTGTTAGGTACATATGATTGTATTTGACATCCTTATGGGGTCGCAATCGGCGATTGTTAATGTCAAATTGTCGTATGTTTGTGGAGAGTCGTCATTTCACAACTGAAATCGACCTATAAAACGGCAATTTTTTAAAAGATTTTTTTGTAGCTGTGAATATTTTCCGATCACCTAATTGTGTTCATCATTTTTTAGAAAAAAAGATGCGTATTATACATGGGGAATTAAGGTAAGTGAAAAACAAGTCGTCCTCGGGAATTGCTTGAACGATAAAAGTGAAATCACTACAGTGTTTCCCAGAAGTCATTTAGCGATTTCAACATTAAATAATTTTAACATTTTTCTTTTATTCAAATAGATTTATGCAGAATGAAGATTCAGACTTTTTCTCCTATGTGCCGTGTCCCTTCAGGACATAGGTGATCATGGCTCTCCACTATTTCCTGTCCTTTCTAGCTCTTAATAAATTTTGTCTTTTTGATATCTCTCCTAAACTTTGTTCCGCCATCCTTTTACTCAAGCCCGTTCTTTTGCTTCTATGAGCCGTGTGCCTTTAGGACATAGGTGATCATGGCTCTCCACTATTTCCTCGCCTTGTAGATCTTAATAAATTTTGTCTTTTTGTTATCTCTCCTAAGCCTTGTTCCGCCATCCATTTACTCAAGCCCGTTCTTTTTCTTCTGTGCCGTGTCCCTTCAGGACATAGGTGATCATGGCTCTCCACAATTTCCTGTCCTTTGTAGCTCTTAATAAATTTTGTCTTTTTGTTATCTCCCCTAAGCCTTGTTCCGCCATCCATTTACTCAATCTCGCTAGGTAGGTTATGATAGTTTTTCTTTTGGCTGTAATATGTCCTTCAGTATCACATTTTCCAAGCCTTCTTTCCTCATTATGGGTCTACTAATTTAAACGCTCTCTTTCTGATATAAAATATATGTGTCTACATATTCGGACCATGATATTATCAGCATTCTTCTGCTGCCTCAAGTCTCTTCAACTGTGAAGAGGTGATCTTGGATTCCCTGGGATATTGGAGGCTTCGAGAGAAGGGTGGGTTTATCGCCCGGTGCCTGAGGCGGCCCCCAAATCGGGATGTGCCGAAAGGAACTGAGCATTTTTCCTACGGTATTGCCATTAACCCCACTTTAAACCGCGGCCTTTTTTCACATTCGGTATCGACGTGGGCACGAAAAAATACCCCTGGCATATTGGAAGACCGACATTACATAAAGGTTCAATACTCTTTCCTTTACTTCTATGGAACATTTCTTGTTCCATAATATAAACATTCGCTTCGGATTACGGTGTCACATATTCCGTCTTCTGTTATAATACTTCGTTAAATTATTGTACAACCTTGATTGTAATATCGCCAATTAGTAGTACGTATCTTAGGCTGTTCCTATTGTTGGCAAACTGACACCCAATCCCTTTAGAAATTGATGGTTAGTCCCTTCTTCTCACAATCTTTTAAGACGTTTGGTGAGACTTCCTCCAATTTAATTAATGGTTTGGTTGATTTGTTTTTCTCCATATCAACTTCAAAGGGGTATTTAATGCCGACAAGATTATTATTGCTGGTAATATTTTTATCTATCTATCTATCTATCTATCTATCTATCTATCTATCTCAGCATATATTATTTTGATTTTTTTTCGTTTTACAGCATATCAGCCTCAATTGGTTATTTAATGCTGACAAGATTTTTATTGCTGGTAATATTTTTTTTATCTATCTATCTATCTATCTATCTATCTATCTATCTATCTATCTATCTCAGCATATATTATTGTGATTTTTTTTTTCGTTTTACAGCATATCAGCCTCAATTGGTTACTTAATGCTGACAAGATTTTTATTGCTGGTAATATTTTTTTTATCTATCTATCTATCTATCTATCTATCTATCTCAGCATATATTATTGTGATTTTTTTTTTCGTTTTACAGCATATCAGCCTCAATTGGTTATTTAATGCTGACAAGATTTTTATTGCTGGTAATATTTTTTTTATCTGTCTATCTATCTATCTATCTATCTATCTATCTATCTATCTATCTATTTATTTGCCTGTCTGTCGCAGTCTATTAATATCTATCTATCTATCTATCTATCTATCTATCTATCTATCTATCTATCTATCATATATATATATTGGTTTGGTTTTATTTAGTTTGGTATGTTTTACAACATAACAACCTCAATGGGTCATTTAATGCCTACACGATTTTTATTACTGGTAATATTTTTTATCTATCTATCTATCTATCTATCTATCTATCTATCTATCTATTGCTTTGATTTTTGTGTTTTACGGCATATTGGCCTCAATTGGTTATTTTCTTCACAGCACCATCAGAGGCCTTGCTGATATACGTAGTGTATCGTCTTACCAAGGACGTGGATGTAGTTTGTCTTATCCAGGACGTGGACGTAGTTTATCGTCTTACCCAAGACGCGGATATAGTTTATTTTCATACCCAGGATGTGGATGTAGTCCATCGTCTTACCCTGGACGGGGATGTAGTTTATTGTCATACCCAGGATGTGGATGTAGTCTATCGTCTTACCCTGGACGCGGATGTAGTTTGTCTTATCCAGGATGCGGATTGTTATGATCCGGTTCCTTGTACCACGGTGATAGTCCAAGGTAGAACCAATAAAGAAGAACTCGAACACGGATATGGAATAACACAGATATATTACAAGCAGGAATATATACAGTGAAGTAGAAAGTGTTAGTACGAACAATCAGGTTTAGTAGTAATTTTCTGAACGCGACTCTGTTTCGGACTGCCTCTGCCTCTGACTCGACTGACTGACTCGCTCGCTCTGACTGACTGACAGACTCCTGACGGACTTCACTTCAGACTGAACTCTCTGCTTCCTCTTGAAGCGCAGTATTTATTACGTATGGAATAGTCCATTATGTTATTATGGGTAAGGTCCCATAACTAGGATGTATTTTATTGTCTTACCCAGGACCAGGATGTAGTTTATCGTCTTACCTAGGATAATTAATTTATGCGTCTGCTATCTACACTGTGTCATCAGCATATCTTTTAGAATTAGAATTATTATAATAATTTTTATTATGATTATTGCTATTGTTATTGCTTACTGTTCAGAACAATACTTTACCAGTTCATTATTCGATACCTTTTTTTATAATGGTGTCCACTCTATACAATTCCACTCTAGGTAGAGTGTTACAGAGTAAGTGGCACAGTTTACAGGAATATGTGACGAAGATAACGATTGACATTTCATTCACTGGGTATCAATAACCGTGCCACCCGATACAAGATAATTAGCTTTTTTTTTTTTTTAATAAAAGATGGTCAATTGTTTTTATACAAGATGATCAATTATTATTATTATTATTTTCTTTGATTTCTGGCGTTTACACATTTCTTTCCGGGTTCCACCTTCCAAGCATGGACTTCCAGGAATCCCTTCAATTAATCTACTGGAATCATTTCGAACCAATCCTAGGGCTCTAGCTACAAAAGTGGTTGTTGATGTTCCCAGATGCCACAGTTTTGAGATTTCTATTTCAAGGTCCTTGTATTTTAACAACTTTTTGAATATCTTCAAAAATACTTTGCAGTCAGCAGGGACTGCCATATCAATAAGGAGGCACCGTTTTTGCTTGTGGTCTTTAATAACAATATCTGGGCGGTTGGCTTTGATTGTTCTGTCAGTGTGTATTGTGCAGTCCCATAGAATTATAACAGGTCCTATCTCCGTAACCGGGTCTGGTTCGTGTTCATACCAGTTTCTTTCAGTTTTCTTCCCGTAGAAGTTGCAGATTTTCCAGTGCAGATATTGGCCTACTCTGTCATGCCGGGTATTATATTTAGTGGGTGCCAATATCGTGCAACCTGATACAAGATGATCAATCGTTTCTGGATATTTATCACAGAATCAGCATTTTGGCCTGACACAATATTTTAGTATATGTGCTTGATAATTCCTAGTTAGCAAGCATTGGTCCTGCGCAGCAAGGATAAAACCTTCAGTTTCAGCTTTCAACCCTGCACCACGTAGCCACTGATGGGTACGGGTTTTGTCTACGTCAGCTTGTTTGGTACGGGCAGAGTATTGGCCATGAAGCGGTTTATCTTGTCATCGCTTTTGTATCGGGTCGGTTGCATTTGTCTTTGCTGTCTTTTTAAAGTATTTTGCAGTTATTATTATTATTATTATTATTATTTCCTTTGATTTCTGTCTTATGGGCATTTTCTTCCGGGTCCCAACCAGAGACCTATGGTAGGAAATGACTTCATGACATTTTTCACTAATCATTTCTGTAAAACCATCCTCTAAGATCACACACATTTTACACAGATAAAACTCTTCATAATAATTGAGCTGTACTTGTGAGTACAATTTTCTGGCATTTCTTTAAGGCATGGGCTACCAGGAATCCCTTCAATGAGTCTATCGGGACATTTTCCAATCAATACGAGGGCTCCAACTACAACAGAAATTATTGATATCTTCATGTGACACACTTTTGAGATTTTCACTTCTGCAGGAGATGTCATGTCAATAGGAAAGCAAATTCTGTTTTTGTGGTTTTTGATCAAGATGTCATCTCCCATCCCCCCACCCCAGTATCATCCACTCCCTCTATCTTCCCCGTTATCAAGAGGCGTGTCTCCTGGTTATTCATACCATTTTATAGCTTGTCTCAGCGTTCATTGTGTGTATGACAAGGCGGTTGTGTTACAGTCTCTTCTTTTTCTACTTCGACCCACAAGGAAATCATCTTCATCGGCTGTTATCACAAAATTAAATTTTTTTGCCAATTAGCACAACAGCGATACTCTTCCGATTGGACTCGACAGAAGCAGCCGCTCACAGCCACATCATTTTGACACACTGGTTCCAGTTCCGAAGTTAAGCAGCGTCGAACCGGGTCAGTACATAGATGGGGAAAACCAGGTGTTGTAATCTTGAATGCGGTTGGGGTAATGGATAATGGTCCGAATTATTATTCTGAGAGCCGAGATCCAAATCCCGTTCGGTTCGTTATATTGGGAAAAGCATGAACCCAACTCTTCTCCCCCAGCTATGGGTTAATTAGTAAGACTTGTATCACTAAAACCATTATTATCTAAAAAAATATAATGAAGTTTTGTACAAAATATTTAGATTTAGCATTAGATAACCCATATAGATTGATATGATGCTAAACATAAACAACCAACAAACAAAACAAATTGTGATAATGTGGATTCAGAAAAATGGCGCAATACAATCTTCCAAATGAATAGTGCCTACGAATTTTTAATTTATTTTTTAACGGGGACATTTTAATAAGAATAGTATTTACAAGAAAAGTGCTGTTAACATACAGAAGGTGCGAGTAAATATTTCTCTGACACCGAATGTCGATTGACTGATTTGATTTTTTACAGGTTATCGTCCCTTTGTGAGTTATCTAAAGCCAGAACCTATTTAGGGTTGCAAGAATAATTTTTTTTCTGCGATTGAATATTGTATTATCAATTTTGCGTGGTAACAGTGTTTTTTTTTGTTTTTTTTTAGATACAAGTCCTACTATTTAATCCATAGATAGGACACAATAAGGATTGGTTGGTTGATTTTGTTTAGCGGTATGTCAACATCTCTGTGGTTTATTTAATACCGAAATATAAATATTTTGAACGTAATTTTATGCTTTGAACTACAGATATTTTTCACAAATTTTACACTTTCAGAGTAAAGGTATGTTATTTTAGATATATTGTTTGTTGAGCATCAAATGTATTGTTAGTCATTTTACTATAACAATAAATGTAGTGAATGTGCTAAAATTGACGGCAATGTGGAGTTATTGATTCGAGTTCACGTGGAGATTAACATCTGGCGATATTTCCCTTCTTCGCCATAAGCATCTCACGAGATTTATGGTGCATTTCTTATTATCATCAAAGGTTTTTTTACAGTTTCCAAAAATTTCAGTAATGTATGTATTAAATATTAAACTAATTTCTCATACATCTATACAGCCAGTTCGGAAAATATTTACTCAGTGCCCAAAAGTTTGGACACATAGGAAATCACATGATTTTTTAAATTTTTTTTACCTCTACTGATTAAACATGTTTTTGTCGAAAGAATTGGCTTCTTCTTGTTGTGGTATGCTAAAGGAGGTGTACTCAATAAAAATCACAGATGCAACACACTTGATTGAACGCATAGAGAAAGAATGTGCTAGAATTAATGGCAATATTGAGTTATTGCAACGAGTTCACGTGAATCTTGCATCGAAGTTTGCACTGCAAACGATGGAAATCATATTGTTATTTGTTAATATTCCAATTCAATAAAATGTAGTTGAAAATTTAATTTCTTGAAAATATGCATTTTTGCCTATGTTTTCAGACCTTAGCCTCTCTCTCTCTCTTTTATATATATATATATATATATATGTATGTATGTATGTATGTATGTGTGTGTCTATATTTCTGGGATGAGGTCTTATATACACTATTTACATTATTCGGACTATTGTCCTCATCTTTGTTGCCATATAAACAATATATAAACTATATATATATATATATATATATATATATATATATTCCCCACATCTTTGTTGCCTTATAAATAATATATATGTGTGTGGGTGTGGGTGTATTTAGGCAGAATTTCATTAAATAATATAGACAAGTTTTGTCTATTTATTTTAAGTAAGTTCCTTTCATATTGTCTCATAAGCTTAATAACATTATCATTGAAAGACGAAAGGAAATCACCATATTCATACATGTTTTTTAATCCTATCTAAGCTTCCGGCTTACATAAGCCATTATCAAAGATGACAATTACTTTTCAATATATCAACCAATGCACGGACAAAACAATAATGATAGTCTGTTTTTGTTGCATGAAAGATTTCCAAGCAACGACTAACTCGTGTATCTTTGATAATGACTTATGTAAGCCGATAGCTTAGATAGGATTAAAAAAAAACATGCATCAATATGGTGATTTTCTGTCGTCTTTCAATGATAATGTTATTAAGCTTATCAGACAATATATCAGACAAAAATCTGTCTATCTTATTTAATGAAACATGCATCAATATATATATATATATATATATATATATATATATATATATATATATATATATATATATA